TCCAAATTAGAAATAATTTTTTTTGTTGTTGAGAGTAAAGAATGACTACTTTTGAAAAATAACCTTCTTTTATTTCAAAGTATGAAAAAAATTGTATAAACATATTTGAAGATAAAAATTCCTTAAAATTTACTTCATCGTTTTTCTAGACTTAACCAAAGATGCTCTAAGTTGTTTTGGATGATAGGATTTAGGATAAATATAAGAAAAAGAAAATAAGAAAATGAATGTTATTGTTTTAAAGGATATTTTGTTTATAGTACTAATATTCTTCAATAGTGTTCGATTCAAGATAGGTTTCAAGATACGTTTCACTAAGTTCATATCCACTTCATCTCCATGTGATCCAAAAGCTTTGACAGCGTAACCTTAGATCCTTATACTAAACTCATAAGTTGGAGTAGCTGCCTAGAGGGGCTTTATGTTCGACTGGCTTGATGTAAATAGTGGATTCGTAGTTTACCATTATAATAGTTGTGCAGTCGTACAATCCCATATAGTCCATATCAATTTAAATTTTATTCCTTATGTTTTCCTTTAGACACACTTCGTTAATCGATTGACTCCACAGAGGCTTTCATAGTGTGTTGCAGCTCAAAACTAATTCTTACTAGATAGGTATTGGCATGGTTTAGGATCCCCAGCTCTTGATTCCAATCCACGAACAAGCGCTTATGCAAATTTGCATAAGCAAACCCTAAAATTTCAATNGGCATGGTTTAGGATCCCCAGCTCTTGATTCCAATCCACGAACAAGCGCTTATGCAAGTTTGCATAAGCAAACCCTAAAATTTCAATATCATGCATCTCTGCTTGTATTTTTTTGGTTTTAGGAAATGGGCCCCTGAATTTTCTGTTTCCATGATTAATGTAAGTTTTCTTTTCAATTACTAACGTCAAAATCATAAAACCCGCCTCTCATCAATAATCAATTAATGTGGATAGCAAAAAAAATTAATCCCTACATTTGTTGACTCAAAAAAGCTTTATGCATACGACATTCCAGTGGTCCAAGGTCCAAGAAAAATCAATGGAATTATATAATTTTTTTCCGTGCACAGCTAAAACTCCAAGGGGGTTTCTTTCTGATGATGACCAGTGCTATTAATTCTCAAACTTTTTTGTTGGATATGTCTAAATTATATATATATTTTTAAAATTATATATATAGACAAAAGTTGATAATAACACTAGTTGTGATTTGACACTGTAGTAAGTGTCTGGTTTTGATGCAGGAGAGTCCAAGTCAAATGTTGAGTTGCCAAATAACACGTTAAAGGCTCTAAAGTATCACGAGTCGGCAGATCGGAGCATAGATAGCAAGTGATCGCGTAACTTTGGTAATCGAGTCGTGTTTCGATAATTTGGCCATAACTTTGGCTAGGGTTATTAGAATTGCGATTATGACCACAATCCGAAAAACTTGTTTCAGCGCGCACGTGGTGGACACATAACTTTGCTCGTTGTGTGCCGTTTTCAACCTCAAATTCCATTGTTTTTCCTTCTGAATTACTATATTTAGTTAAATTTTGCTATTTTTG